ACTTGGTCAATTATTAATTAGATGAAAAACCGTAATGCAGGGTGTCGAAAGCTCGACAGCTTGTTCGAAAGAACTGAGGGGTTTCTTTCAATTGGCCTTATCCCTGATTTTTAATATAACATTTTTGTTTTATATAATTTAAAAAATTTATGATAAAACAACTTTAGTAATGTTGCTTGTTAAAAATACTGTTGGGGCGTCGGTCGCCTCAACGGTGCGTTTACACGGCGCTCATCACTGTAAGGTAAAGGTTCCAGGTTCGAATCCAGCGGCCCTGCATTCGAACCTGACATACTTACAAATGAACTTTTTTTTCAAAAACATCGGCACCCTGAGAGTTCATATAACCTCGCAGTTGAAATACGTTAGTTTAGGGTGGTAATAGGCTGGCTCTTATCGAGGCTGAGGATTAGTAAATATTTGACCTCCCTATCTCATGTTGTTATCACATTCCAACACAACCATTTCGGACTTATTGTGCCAAGCTGTAAACGGATGTTATGTTTATTTAACCAATTACACACAGTAAATAAAATCCTATCGATGGCAAATCTGAATTTGCATTCCTGATGAAAGAGTTACGTATTTGGATTGACAAAATAAAAATAATATTATTTCCGTTTACCATCTCTTTTAATAAAACGTGAAATTCGGAATTAGCCAATTTGTTGTAAATATGTGGGTTCACCATGAAAAAACGGAGTAGAAAAAAAAATTGGCTACATTACTTTCTCTCGTCTCGTAACACGACAAAGTCGGCTCAAAGAAAATTTAAATATTCCTTCCCCTAGTTATTATTGTTTAAAGATATAGTAATCAAGCTATTTATGAGATCTAGGAATTTATACAATAACTTAAGATAAAACTGAAAGTTTGAGAAAAATGAAACTGAAACTCATTTGTGAAACGTGTATTGTTTAAGCAATTCAAACGTTAAAAAAAATAGTATATATCAAGACTAAAATACAAAACGTTTATTTTTTTAAAGGCAAATAATTTACATTTTAAATTTACTACATATTTTTAAATTTACATTTCATAAATTTTATTGCTTTCAGTTCGTCAAAGCCTTGAAAATCTGGATGGTTGTGAATGACGTAGCATTTGTCGAACAAACGCACAGATGGGGTAAGTATAAAGGAAAAGAACCATAACTTTTTTCGTCGTTTTCGATTTGATTCTTAAGCGGTAAAACTAAAACCTAATTAATTACTTTAAGTAAACTGCTAACGTATTATACACTATACACATTACACATAGTTATTTTGAACTGTTGGCTTTACATTTAAAATTGTGGTGTGATGCCAGGGTATCATTGAAGCGTTGTCAATTCGTAATTCTCCCATTCACAGAGTGCTACGAGCATTCCATTAACCTAACGATGAGACTAATTCTGCTTCCTTACAATCAATACTTGAGACTTTTGTTCAAAACACCAGCAATGTTCCGCAGGAAATCGATTAACGACTCATTATATAATATTATTTGTGGATTTTGTAACAATTTTGTCATTGGTAAACGTGAACGAACTACACGTTTCTTTGACAATTTGACTTCAGATTTCACGGCAGTTTTACATAATTAAAATGCACAGGATAGCTCGTTTATTCAAATTGAACCATATTTATTCTACGAAAGTTAAAACACGGCATTTCTTTCAGAATAATTATTTTTTAATACATAACATGAACTTCAGATAATTCACCATGTCTTTACGAAAATTATAAAAAAATATTAATGATTAGCCTGTATATATGTGGCATTATTGAGTGTCGTGTTAAGTGTGCCAATATCAATATATCACTAGCACCTCTTTATAACATATTCACTAAAATCTCTCATATGACCCAGGCCCTCTGTATAGGACAAATATGATAATTAATACCCCTACATTTGGCACATTCTTTTATAGAATGCAAATGGCTTCTCACAACAAAATATTAATGATTAACCTGTGTAGATGTGTCATTATTGAATGCCGTGTTGTGCACGCGCTGGTCGGTCGCAATAAAATTTGGTTAAATAAAATAAAAATAAAATAAAGTACAAAATAAATTAAAATACTAACTTGTTAACTGTGGCTGGATTTTCTCGACAACCAGGGAGGAGAGCCGTTTAATAGCTAGAACCTGCAATAACTCTGGCCAAAGATAAAGCAGAATCCTAGTCTATTAATTACCTTTGGGGCTCCGTCCGAACCCTGTATGATGTGTCGCATTAAGGATGTGGGAGGAGACACTCGCGTTATTTTGAACGCGATAATTAACAAAACGAAAGAAAAAAAAAGCTTCTTGAAAATAAGAGAAAAACTGAAAGAAAACTAAAAGAAAATCACTCTTGGAGGCTAATTAACAGTGGACTGTATGGAAGCGAACAGGACTAGAGCAGGACTAGGCAGCAACAGGAACGGATTGTGGGGAGGGAACAGAGCTAGGATAAATTCTAGATTAGCGGCATTTCGGAAACAAAATAAACAATTATAATTCGCGATTTTTGGCGCGAACATACCGCCCACCAAAATTATAACAATTTTCCATCACCAATTTCTATATACAATATTTACATGTACTGAGAGAAGGGATATTATTCCTTAAGAATGCTTGGTAGCGGGACGAGACCAACTAACGAGCGGGTATATGTCCCTGAAGCGGTTCGGACAACGGCCACACGAGGAATTTTGTCCGGTCCAGGAAGCAATTTAACTATTTGGCCTACAGGCCATGACAAGGGGTGAGAGAGGACGCCTTTTACAAAAACTAAATCGCCTTCTTTAGGCGGGGTTGACTGGCCAGACCACTTATTGCGCTGCATTAAGTGATTCAGATACTCTTTACTCCAACGTCGCCAAAAGGATTGAAACAACTGTCTTTGTTTCTCCCATCGAGTTTTAAGAGTTTCGTTTTCGAGGTATTCAGGTTCAGGAGGCGATAATAAAGCAGCACCGGTTAAAAAATGTCCGGGAGACAAGAAATGGGTGGATTCAGAGGGGTCAGATGATTGTTGGCACAGAGGACGACTATTTAAGGCCTCCTCGATGCGAGCAAACAATGTAGCATACTCTTCAAATGTTGCAGTCGAGTTCCCCAACATGCGTGTAAGGAGACCTTTGGCAGATTTAATTGCTGCCTCCCAAATTCCACCAAAGTGTGGAGAATAAGGGGGGCTGAAACGCCAGGTGATTTCACAGGAGGCAAGGAAATCGCAAATGTCTGAGTTGTGATCTTTCAAAAACTGAATGACTTCCTTTAAATATTTGTTCGCACCAACGAAATTTCTTCCATGATCAGACAGGATTTCGTTGGGGAGACCACGTCGGGCTACAAATCTGTCCAACGCGGCCAAAAAGGATGCAGTACTCAGCTCGGAAACAAATTCTAAATGTACTGCCTTTGTGGCAGCACACACAAATAGGCACAAGTAACCTTTCATGAGAGAAGGTTTTCTTGACCGGTTGGTTCGAACCGTGAAGGGACCCGCGAAGTCGACGCCTACATGTGAGAAAGGACGGGACATAGTAACACAGCCGGAAGGTCACCCATTTGAGGTTGAAAGTTGGAAGCCCTGAATCGATAACAAGTTAGGCAGCTCCTGATACACGTTCGTAATAGGCCTCGTAGTGATAAAATCCAGAACTTTGCCCGGATTAAAGCCTGAACAGTGTTTGGGCCGGAATGAAGAGATGAATAATAGTAATGGAGGCAAATCAATTTGGAAAGATGACACTCTTTCGGAAGGAGGTAAGGGTGTTTTGAATCATAATCAAGGTTTGACTGTCGAAGCTTGCCGCCCACCCTGAGAATCCCCACCGCATCAACGAAGGGCGTGAGAGGAGCAAGTTTCCCTTTGAGGAACCCTTTGGAACGTAAATTTTCAAAATCATACCTGAAATAATGTTCCTGGGTAAGTCGAACAAGAATAATTACTGAATCGTTGAGTTCCTTGGGAGAGAGTGGCCCATTATATTTATCATTATGGTTTTGCTCTCTCGTATTATGCAAAAATCTTAACACCCAAGCAAACACACGACGCAGACGAACAAAGCTCGAATGACACTCGATTTCGTTGAAGAGGTGATTAGAATTGTCTTCCTTTAGGTGAAGACACTCTTTAATTTCTTTGAGTTCAGGGAGGGAAGTGATAACCTTTTGACGCTGAAAAGGCGGTGGCCACAAGTTAACTTCTTGGCTCAAGAATGGAGGCCCATGATCGGAAGAAACAAATTTCTCCGGATCTTCTACAAGCCAGGTCTGCGGGATTAGATTCTGTGCTGATATGTGACCATTCGACTTGAGGGCCTAACTCCGACAGCAATACAATTCTATTAGCGACAAAGGTCTTAAGTAAATGCGGAGGAGTTAGTAGCCATGATAAAACTATTTCAGAGTCGGAAAATAATCTAATAGAGGCGATTGCATTAGGGATTGCACAGGTTAAACATGATTTTAATAATTTCCCTAACAACACTGCACCGCAGAGCTCCAACCGTGGAATAGTCAGGCTTTTCAAAGGAGCAACCCTTGACCTCGCCCTCCACAGTTGTACGTTAGATCCGTTTTCACAACGAGCAATGAGATACAAGACTGCCGCGAAACCTTTCTCTGAGGCGTCACAAAACCCAGCGAAATCGATAGAATTTAATTTTCCACAAGTTACGTTGCGAGGAATTTGTATGAAGCTCAACAAACCAAGAGCGACCGTCATTTCGTGCCACAACCTTTCCAACAATGGTGGGACGACATCGTCCCAGTCAATCCTACATAACCACAAGCGTTGTAGAAAACATTTTAAAGCAAAGGTGACAGGTGTTAAGAAACCCAGGGGATCAAAAATTCGCGCAATATAAGAAAGCGCGTTACGCTTGGTGATTTTATTATTAAAAGGGATGACATCAAAAGAAAAGACATCGAGCTTAGGACACCAGGACAGACCCAATATTTTCAAAGCTTCGTCAGGGTTTGCAAAACTCAATTTTGATTCAATGTGATCCTGAGGTAAGTCGTTTAATGCTTCGGGAAGATTACTAGCCCACTTCCGAAGCTCAAAACCCCCAAGGCGCAACAAACTTTGCAGGTCATGTCGAACTTCAACGCGGCCTCAAGGTCATCGGCGCCGGAAATGATATCATCGACGTAGGTTTCTTGAAGAATGGCTCGGGATGCATGGGGATAAGGTTGGCCCTCATCTTGGACAAGTTGATGGAGGACGCGAATCGCGAGGAAGGCTGAAGGGGCGAGACCATAGGTCACAGTTTTTAGTTCGTATTCCCTAAGTTCGGATTCCACAGAAGGACGCCAGAAAATGTGTTGGAAGTTTCTATCTTCCGGACGTACCTCTATTTGTCTATACATTTTCTGTATGTCTGCACAAAGAGCAATTGGATATAATCGGAACGTCGCTAATATTTCAGGGAGATCCTTCTGAAGCTTGGTGCCACATAATAAACGAGAATTGAGAGAGAGGCCTGTGGAATCGACTTGGGAACCGTTAAAAACGACACGAATTTTTGTCGTCGAGCTTGACTCCTTTGAGACTACATGATGGGGGATTACGTAAGGAGCAGAATTCACGGCAGGTATCATATGGCCTAATTGCAAATACTCTTTCATGAAAGTGAGGTATGCCTTATACTTTGAAGTGTTACGCTGCAACCTCGCTTCCAAGCGAAAAAAGGATTGGCGAGCGATGGAACTGTTTTCGCCAATGGATTCTATATTGGGTTTAAATGGCAGAGCGACTATATATCTACCAGAAGAATTGCGGGTATGGGTTTTTTTAAAGTGCTGCTCGGCATAGTGGGACAAAGGGTCATCGGGTATGTTGCAGATGACTTCCTCTGTTTCCCAAAATTTCTTTAGTGTCCGTCAAGCTGCAATTAGTAAGCAAGCTGTCAGCGGAATCAAGACTTCCGGCTGCATGAGTAGGACCTACAATTATCCACCCGAAAATGGACTTAAGGGCAGAAGGATAACCTTTTTTGAAGGAGGAACCATCGTGAATTAAAATATCTGGGAACAGGTCCGCTCCTAGAAGAAGGTCAACACGGGACGGAACATGGAATTCATCATCCGCTAAATTAAGATGCCGAAATCGGTTGTAAATATCCAAGGAGATAGAAATAGAGGGGGCATTATTCGAAATTGAATCCAATACAACCGCTTTAAATTGTAAAGAATCTAAAGTGGAGTACGCTTGAAGATAGCAATGTGTTACACCATAATGGCAAGTAGAACACTGTGATATTCCTGAAACAGTGATGGAAGCAGGGTCAATCTTTAACCCTAAGCTGCGAGCGGCTAAATCTGTTATCGCAGATATTTGGGAGCCAGGAACTAAAATGCAACGAATGTTGCGGAAAATTCCTTCTTTGTCTTTGATAAGAGCTTTCACTGCCCCTAGGATTACCTGACGATTTGGGTAAACTGTATTTTCAAGGCGACATGACATTGATTGAACACAAACAGAAGTATCAGAGGCGGAATTAATCTCTTGATTTGTAGACGGAGGGAACGGTGAGGTTTGTTGACAAGAATTTATCGCAGAGGGTTTTTCAGGATGTAATATGGTATGATGCCGAGTGCTATGACAAACCCGACAGGAGGCACGTGACTTACAATTAGAGCGGGAATGGTTTCCCAAACAATTGAAACACCGCTTGCTTGTGCGTAAAAAATTATATTTACAATCTCGGGAAATTTTTGAAGACGAAGGACACTTAAATAAAAGGTGTACTTCTTGGCAATATGGGCACGTAAAATCTCGTGACTGTGAAGAGGTAACAACATGTTTTGGATCTCTAACTTTAGGGGAGGATTCGATCATCAAGATGTGCGGCTGTTGGGATCTAGTTCTTAAGTTGTTTCCAGCAATAGGAGATTCTAAACATTCCACAGTTCGAATTTGATTGGTAACTAATTCAATGAATTGGTGGTACGAAGGGATTTGATCAGAGGAATGTTTATTTTCAAATCCCCTTTTGGTGTAAGAGTCAATATTTTTAAAAGCAAGAGAGAAAAGTAAAAAATCGGACAGGTCCTTTATACCAAGAGCCTTAATGGCATTAACTGAAGTTTGATGGACACTGAGAAATTTCTTAAGACCAGGTAGAGTTTGGGAACTCAAGGGTCTAAAGTTGAGAATTTTCGCAAGATACATTGATGCTATTTTTCTGTCGTTCTGAAAGCGGGTTCTTAAAGCACCATAAGCCAAGAGATAATTTTCAGGAGATAGTTTAAATCCTGAAATGGTAGACAGAGCTTCACCTTTTAATGCAGACTGGAGATATTGAAATTTTCGTGTTGTTTCCAAAGAGGAGTTGTTATGAACTAATGAATTGTAAAGTGCAAAAAACTCGGGCCAATCTTCCGTTGTGCCGCTAAATTGTGGCAAATGTATTGTAGGGAGCGGGTTACATGAGGAATTATGACTTTCATTTAATGCCATCACAGGTTCGACTTGCTTTTTCAAATCTAAATACGCCGCTTTAATGGAAAACAAAACGTCCAAAAATGCATTACTCGCCTTAGAAGTATCAATACGTTCGTCAGTGGGCAAAAGGACATTACACTGAATTATTTGAAGATTCGCATCTTCGAATTTTTTTTTCAAATCTATCGTTTCATCGCAATATAATTCAACAACGCTCAGTTGATCGCTTGTTGCTGTTTTAGTGCGATTCCAGATAAATGTTAGGCTGGCAAAGGCATCCTCTCTAATTAAGAGTAATTGTTCAATTTTGGATCTGATTTTGATTGACTCCTGAACTTCTGCTTTTGGAGGCATATTTGTAAAGCTGGTGATTGTAATTGATAACGAAATATGAATAAATGAAGGCAAGAATTAAAATTTACGGAGGTAAACAAGTAACAAATTTATATTTTGTTTTTGAAGTGTATGGTGTGGGTACTCTAATGAAAGTACGTTTCTGCCAAATATGAAAAAATTTACTAATTAATTGGTTAAAATTGCTATCGAAGAATATTGTTGGTTAAAAAAGGTAATTTTATTTACAACTAAACGAAAAGGGTTTGGGAGCAGAACGGAAAGATAAGAGGTTTGTACAAGAGGTGTAGGCGTAAATAAACAATTGTTAATCCTTGTGCTAGGTTTGATAAATTCTTTAAATAGACGACAATTAGTTTTCAGAAAAAAAATTTAATCCGGCCCGGAGGACCAAATTTTATGTGCACGCGCTGGTCGGTCGCAATAACATTTGGTTAAATAAAATAAAAATACAAAATAAAATAAAGTACAAAATAAATTAAAATACTAACTTGTTAACTGTGGCTGGATTTTCTCGACAACCAGGGAGGAGAGCCGTTTAATAGCTAGAACCTGCAATAACTCTGGCCAAAGATAAAACAGAATCCTAGTCTATTAATTACCTTTGGGGCTCCGTCCGAACCCTGTATGATGTGTCGCATTAAGGATGTGGGAGGAGACACTCGCGTTATTTTGAACGCGATAATTAACAAAACGAAAGAAAAAAAAGGCTTCTTGAAAATAAGAGAAAAACTGAAAGAAAACTAAAAGAAAATCACTCTTGTAGGCTAATTAACAGTGGACTGTATGGAAGCGAGACGGAAGCGAACAGGACTAGAGCAGGACTAGGCAGCAACAGGAAGGGATTATGGGGAGGGAACAAAGCTAGGATAAATTCTAGATTAGCGGCATTTCGGAAACAAATAAACAATTATAATTCGCGAATTTTTGGCGCGAACACGTGTTATCAATTTTCACTAGCACCTCTTTACAACATATTCACTAAAATCTCTCATATGACCCAGACCCTCTGTACAGGGGACAAATATGATAATTAATACTCTTACATTTGACACATTCTTTTTGGTATGCAATGAAATTTTTATTACATCGAGACCGTATCGAAATTGCCCTGATCTCGGAAACACACATGATAACCAACTCGTTTTTACATCACAGACTACACTATAGGTCTGGCCACCCAGTGGCACTGCTGTGATTATACACTCTTAATATTTGCATTTCACGACCTACGGGCTTACACAATACCACAATTCCAGAGTATTTCCATTTCTATACAAAGCTTTACCAAGACAATTGCTTTTCTAGCGGTATATTGCCCACCCAGGCACTGCATTTACATAATGAAATGAATGGTACTGTTTTTGATCATCGTTGTAGTAAGTTTTTACTCGCAGGGGATTTTAATTGTAGAATTAGCAAGTTTCAGGCTCTTCCTTTCAAACAGATTGGACCAAATGTTGGTATTGAAAAGTTTAGATAGAAAAGGTTTGAAAGGAATATAATTGCACAACTATAATCTAAGAAATCAAATAGTACTTGTTGTTTGATGTAGTGGCATATAATATATGCGGACTTAAGAAGACATTACCTAATACAGACGGACTTTATCTCGTACATAACTAAATTTGATATATTTTTCAATTTTGAAACTTGTATCAAAGGAAGAGACGTGGATCACCTTAACAAATTATTCCCCGAGTTTTCATTGAGATGGATTTCAGCAACTATTGTGCAGAGCTTCGAGAGGATGTGTTTATGGTGTGAAAAATAACAAAAAAAATATATGAAAATTGTCAATTTAAATTTGCTTAATTTTTACAAACTGGAAACAAATTTTCAAAAAATGTGTAATGACTAAATCTGCAATAGAGAATTTTGTAAGAAATTCAAAGGATACAATTATTACTAATAATAGAAGGAAAATGTTAGTTATTAGATTGTTTTAATTTGACTATTCTTAATTATTTATAATGTGAAATTACATTTATTAATAGAAATGTCTATTGTTGTGTCCACTCAGAGTTAAGTTCACACGTGTCCGACTTTTGCGTTGATCATTTTCTTATTTTCTGTTCCACATGCCGTTGTTTTATCATACCAATGCAGTAGTAATAAATCATATAATACGTTTGCTACCAAAAATGGTATGGCGTGATAATAACAAAGAAACATACAGTAATAGCTTAAGCAAATGTTTCAGTGCAACAAAATTAATAACGGATAATATATATTTAAAATAGATTATTGCTCGAAAGTAATAAAAACCTGAAATTTATTACCCCAATCCTAAAAGAAAAGTTGCATTTAAAAGAAAATGGTTTGACAAAGAATAAAGAAAGTAACCGATAAGCTTCATAAGCTACGAAATACCTGAAAAAACATAACAAAATACAACAAAATGAGGGATAAATTAGTATATATTAAGTAAAATAAGTAATTGAAAAAGCATTGTTGAGAGGACTTGTAACGAAAAATTGATTACAATGATTATTTGGAGATCGTGAGGTGCGGTCTGATATGACGTAGGTTTTAGAAAAACATTTTCTTTATCGTGCTAACGTTTCGATCTTTATTGAGATCATCTACTACAAGAGAGATAGCGCAATAGAGCCTGATTACCGTTCTGTAAAACATCATTCAATGACAAGAAAGTAATTTAAAAAAATATAAATAAACAAATATCTTGAAGAATAAAAATTGTTCTAAAGGAATTAAATCACTCGAAAATCGAAATACTGGAATCACAATAATAATTTCAAGTTAAGCATTTGACAACGAAACAACGTGCCAGATTACA